CTGAGGATCCACAGAGAGTGCGGGTCGATTCTGGGCGGGGTGCATTTGGAGTTGACGGGGGATGCGGTGACGGAGTGTACGGGGGGTAGTCAGGGTTTGCAGGATGAGGATTTGGGGGCGCGGTATGAGACGTTCTGTGATCCGAGGCTGAACGAGAAGCAAGCGCTGGAACTTGCGTTCTTGGTTGCGGGGAGTCAGCGGGGGACGGAGGGGTGATGGTGGATTGGAATGAGGAGGTTCCAGGCATTTGTGGCGGATTAGGGGCTCACGAGCACGAATACGCGGAAGCTAGGATGTTGGTTGGCGTATTGATCGTGCTGCCTACTGAATAGTAGCACCTCACAGCTTCGCTTATTGGTTTTTGAACGGCAGTCCAGCCACCTCACTTATCATCTCCAGCGCCTCGATCAGCTTCTCGTCTTCGTACCTGCGTCCAACAAGCTGCAGCGAGATCGGCGCATCGACGTATGTCTCCGGCTTGTCTGTTCGCTTGTCAGCGCCTCCATCTCCACATCATGCTTCAGATGACTGCACTTACAGAGCTCGTAGTTATACTTGTCCTGCTCATTCCTCGGCTTATAGCCTTCCTCCAACGTATCCTCAGCGCCAGCCTGTAAACCGGTTGGAAAGACCAAGCTCGGATAGTCCAGCAAATTCCACTGAGACGTGTAACCCCAATACCTCGCACAATCGTGCGGAGGAGCGCAGCCCGGTCCCGTCGGAGTGAGAATGACGTCGACCATCTTGTCCTTCTCAGCCATAGCTTGCACTCCCAGCTCCGCCTTCGTCTCCGGACCAGGCAAGCTGGTATTGACGGTGTTCCAATGCTGAGTGTAAGCCGCTTTATACCCTTCTCGATCCTGCGTCAGGCCCCACAACTCCGACACGGTCAAGTCCTTGACGTTTGGATTATCAGTGATGATGAACTTCGTGAGAGGCAACCACGGCTCGCCGGAAGCATCAATGGCTTCTCGCTCTTCCGCGGCGCCGTCGGCGAAGTAGAGACTACTGATGATTCGCCAGGCTTCCTCGTGCTTGTAGGGCGGGAAGTCCACGAGTTCGATATCGGGGTGGGAGCGAAGTTTGGCTATCAGGGTGTTCATGCCACGGAGGATGGGTGGGTGAGGTTTCACCACGCCATCGTCTGCCAGGATCCCGACACGCAATTTGCGTTTTCCCTCTGAGCCTTTGCGGAGGAGGGACGTCGTGGATGTATATTTCCACGGCATAGTGATGAGACTAGGCTCATAAAGCCACGGCTGCTGATCAAGAAGCGTCTTCATAAACACCTTGACGCCAGCAAGACTCGTGCTCAACGGTCCGATGACAGGAACGATGTGTTCGCTCCCCAGCATCGTAGCCGACCATCCGCCAACCGGCAACCGATAGCTCGTCGGTCTCAAGCCAAACAGCCCGTTGTTGGCAGCTGGACTCCGGATGGAGCCTCCAATGTCAGTCCCGATTCCCAGACAGGAGCCGTGCATTCCCATCAAAGCGCCCTCGCCGCCACTGCTGCCGCCGCTGGTCAGAGCGGTGTTGTAGGGGTTCACAGTCAACCCGTAGATGTTATTATCCGTCTCGAGATGCATCAACGCTTGCGGCTCTGTTGTGCGGACGTAGAACACCGCGCCAGCGTTCCGAAGTAGCTTGAGAATGAGAGCATCGTCCGGGGCTATCCGGCCGACCCAGGAGACGAAGCCAGCGTTGATATCGAGTCCCTTCATCGAGACGTGCTCCTTCACGCTGATTGGCAGGCCGTGGAGCGGTCCTATGGGCTTGCCGTGCGTGGCGAGGTAGTCGTCCACGTATTTGGCTCGAGTCAGTGCTCGATCTGGTAGCATCTCAGTGACGCAGTTCGTTAGCTTGCTCGCTAGCCCGGCGCGCTGCAGGAAGGCCTTGGTGACATTTGTGCTTGAAATGCTACCGCTTGCGAGTATCTGGAGGAGCTTCTCCGTTGAAGTCTCTGTGATGGATATGACGTCCGCTGGGAGTAGTCGCTTTGGGATGCCAGTCACATTGAGTAGAAGCTCCTTCGGTGGGTCAGGCACTGCTGGCTCGATCGCTGCTATGGTCTGCTCGCGGTGCTTCAGCATTGTAGCCGAGATATCCTGCCATGACTTCTTCGTTACGGACATGACTTCCATAGATTAGTTATTGTTCGCTCCAACTGCTTCTTTCGAAATGTGGAACAGAAGGTTTAGGACAAGTAAGAGATGTTCGGAAGACTCTACTTCCCATCCAGGTCTGTACAGTCGACCACCACTGCCGTTCCGGCCTCATGAATTACGATAGGCATTTCGACACCAAGATAACGGCCGACGCTGGCCAAGTCGAAGCTCACGTCGAAGCTGACGTCGAAGCTGCAGCTGTCGAGGGGCGCTGTGCCGATGGAGTGGGTCTTCAGCAATGGAAGAAGACCGCGAGACTTCGATGCTGTGCGGCAGCCTCACTCGTGGCCGTTGAGTAAGGTGCACCCATCACCGCTGCTGAGGTGTCGGGAAGCATTCGGGCCAGTGCAGAAAAGTACTTGTCCAGAAAAGGACTTGGGCTTGAAAGGAAGAACATGGAGGGCACGTGATGTCTCACCGATGCCAAGCCTTTTCCTGTGAACTCCATGTCCACCTGGCACTGGCTGGCAGCTCGGGCGTTGCGAATCGCTGTCTAAGAGCTAAGGCATGTTTGCGGGTGTTGCCCGCTCATGTTTGTCCTGGACCGGTCAGCTCATACTGCAGCTGCAGTCGCTCGCAAGCCACAGAACGCATGCGGATGGATCGCGCGGCCACAGTCTGCCGCCCAGAAAGGCGAGGTGGACGGGAACAGGTCACACAGGTTACACGACAGGAAACCGTGGCGTGACCCGCCTTTGCTACTACAGTACACACTCTGCGCATCCACGAGCCTCCGCCCCGCGGCGTCAACTCTTATCAAGGAGGCCAGCTTGCTCCATCTTATGCCTCCAGCTTGCGTCTTCTTCTTCTTTGCGCGGCTGTACTGTTCTCGCTGTTTGATCTCGTCTGCGAGAAGGAGCTACTCTAGTAACAGGCGTTCTTGCAATAGCTGGGGCTAAGTATGTCACTGGACATATTTCCCAGTGGCAAAAAGGAACTTGAACGGAGGTGGGAGAACAACGAATTTGCTCAACGCGTCCTGCCAGATCTCGCCAAGCACTTCGCGCGGCAAGCGCTCAATCAGCTTCAGGATGACCGCAAATGGCTTGCACTTTTCGCGCTCACTTCACCAGACTTCGGACAAGCACGCAATGAGTTCTTGCATCGTGGCAGTGAATTCTTTATCGCATTGGACCAGCATTGCACTCTCTTCCGTCTGGCCATTGGAAGCGACGGTCTAGTTTGCAGTGGCTATGGATACACTTTCGTTGCCTTTATCGGCTCACTTCAGCACATGGAGCAGAGCGATCCAGTAGCAACCACAAAACACCCGGTACGACTCGCTGACAAAATTCAAAAACTCGGAAAGCGGCAGGAGGAGGCCGGCAAAAGCTCTTCTGAATATGCTCTGTGGGGTGAAGCCCTGGAGGCAGTGCAGCGATACGAGCGCGGCGACATTGATTCACCGTCAGCTTTTTCCAATATAGCTGATGTAAAGTATGTCACGAATTGCTGATGCGTTCCCAGATTCGCGACATTCGACCGAGTGAGCTCGGCTTGGCTCACACTGATGGCAGTTGAGTCCCCTGGCAAAAAGCTATATAGTGACGATTTTGCTTCTTTCTGCGTTGGCTTGGAGGCCGAGTACAATGCTGCGCTGAAGCTGTCTACACCCTGGCAGATTTACAAACGCAACGTCAAGGCGTTCACCTACCACGTTGGCTGCCCCAACGCCCATGAAGAACCCGCGAGCAACATTGCGGAGATGCGACGCTTCCACGCCACGCAGATGCCCTTTTTCAACAAGCTGCAGCAGGACCTCGCCGAGCAAGTCAAGCGCAACGAATACCAGCAGCAGATCATCACCCACCTTCTCTTCCGGCATCTGCTTGAGCACCTGCCGCTTCGGACCCACCCGACGAATGCTTCTGAGAACTGGATGACTTTCTGGAAAGATGCATGCAAAAAAGCGTCGGACCTCAGCACGACAGACCACCCGCTCAAACAGCTGCTGGATCTCACTCCCGGATCTGACCACATGTTCAACACTTTGAGCCAGGTGACCAATGTCAGGAATCAGATCGCACAGTGGACAAAGCAGGGAGCTTCGTACGAACTTGGATGCGGCCTGTACAACATCACCAGCAAGAACATACACAATTACGCAGGCGATATGGACGGCTACGAAAGCGCATTCAAGGCAGGAGGACATCCGTGGCCAAAGCCACTCGACGACATGCTGGAGGCATTGATTCCGATAAACTTCCACCCGAACAACCACGCTTCCGCGGGAGAGGTCGATTGGGATAAGGAGAGAGCGAGATATCTGTAGTGCAGACTGTTCTTCTGCATTGGAACGTGTTCTACGCCCTGGACGGTTGTTGATGATAAATGATGACAGTGCGAGACGGCCTCCGATGTACGCTCAATGAATTCCAAGTGCGGGGATACCGATGATTTCTTAGCTGCGTGCAGTTGGAGCCTGGCAGATTAGCAGTACGATAATGAGTGACCTCTTCATACTCGAGTTCCCACTGCTATGTATGTTCCAGTCTCCCGTCTTTTGCTACATCATGAACGTGTTTAGGTCCCTCGTGTGTCTCGAAAACAAACGTGCACAGTGGAGTTGGGCAAACAACCACCACATTATCGTTGCGAGTTCCTTACTCGGGCTTACCCAGCTGTAGTCCTACTGGCGGCACACCACCTTCGTGAACGAAGGAATAAAACTTGGAATGTGCCGAAACTCAGCCGCGCTCGCAGTCGCGCATTTTATGCCAATTTTCGGATACACGGGCTGGCTGCAAGCCAAAAAAAACAAAAAGATACATATCATCGTGATCGTGCCAGGGGCTGTAGTGATGTTAGATTTGTTGCTTGGATGCTCGGACAAGGTTATGCCTTACTCGAACCTGGAATCTCTTGATTCGTAGTCAAGCGCCTTGCCATTGGGCCACACGACCATGAACGAAGAAGCTCTCCACAAACAATATGACCCCTCGATTCTTTTCGACGACTAATCCCGCCACAGAACCAATTTGAACCCGCTCCCTGAACGCGCAATAGTACGTCGACATGTAGGCATTCCAGACATGATTATTTGTTGTCAAGAGTCCAAGCTTTCTCTTCTACTGGGAGTAACACAGTAGTAGTGGTGCCCTCACAACACCAAAAAGCAGCGTATAATAATACTGCCAACCCCACCTCCACCATGCCAATCCCCCAGCGCCGCCGCTGTGCCAGAACCAACGCACCCCCCCATATCCCCACCTCTCCACCCCCATCCATCTCCCCCTACTTCCCCGTCTTAGCCTTCTTCTTCGGCCGCTCCACCTTCGCCGCCGTATCCCCCTCGCTCCCCGCCCCGGCAGCATCCTCCATCTCGGCATCGCTCCCTCCCCCTCCACTACTCGCGGCATCCGAATCAAACTCCTCCGCAACATCCGACTCGTCGTCGGCCTGGAAATCCTCGTCGACCGACTCGTCATCCTCGTCGGCCGACCCGCGCGCCTCGACGACCTCCTCGTCACTACTCGCGAGATCCGGATCGTTGTTCATGACCGCGGCCATCATCCCGCCATCCCCGTCCATCTCGTTCCGGAACGGGATATTCTTCGCCTTGAACAGCGTCTCGAGCGGACTCTGCTCCTCGCGGTTGATATTCAGCAGCTGGTGCTCGCCGGCGCCGTTCTTGAGCGTGACGGTGATGTCGAAAGTGCGGCTAGCACTGATGGCCCCGCCCACGCGGCTCATTGCCACGCTGCTGACGTGCTCGTAGCTGATGTACGTCGCGGGTTTGGGGACGAAGAGGAAGGCGCGGTCGAGACAGTAGAGGTGGCCTTCGTTGGCTTTGATGCTGCATTTGACGCCGCTCTGGCCGTGGTGGGAGATGAAGAGGGAGGAGGGCTGGAAGATCTTCTTGTTGGTCAGGCCGTGGAAGATTTTGGCGATCACTTGGAAGATGGGCGCTTCGTAGCGGGATTGCAGTTTGCCGTTGTACTTGGATTTGAGGTCCTCGTCGGTCATGTTGAGTTCGATGTTGACTTCTTCCTCGCGCTTGAACTGCATGACGATGAAGGGGTACCGTGTTTGGCCTTGTCGAAGCGGTGGGTCTAGGCCAATGCAAAGAAGCTGATGCATGTCGTCGGGCTTTGGAAGGAGGAAGAAGCGTTTCGCGTTCTCGTACGGCACTTTGTAGTCGTACGTTTTGCCCCGTAAACGAAACGACTTCTCGTAAAGGTCGATGTCGAAGCGGCCGCGCGGTGTAAGGTGCAGGATGTCGAGGAAGGTAGCGTATGTGTCACCAGCCACCTCACCAATCTCGGCCTTGTCCATGAGTGTTTCGTAGAATACGGTGGCCGCGTTCTTCTCCTCCTCGCCATCATCTTCTGCTTCTTCGCCATCCTCCTCCACGTCCTTCTTCTTGCCTTTCCGCGAGTCGGTGCCAGGTATGTAAAACCGCATCTCCGTCAGCTGGTCAGTCGCACCACCCGTCTTCCTGCCTTTGCTTCTTGCCCCGCCGAGGTGCCCATTTGTGCCCGTCTCTTCGCCATCCGCCGGTAGCGAAAACTCCACAGCCACCTCATTCTTGCCCGCCAAGTTCGTATTCGAGATCTCGGTGTAAGGGATCTCGAAAGCCGGCTTGTTGCGCACGCTGAATGCGAATTCGGTCCTACCCATCTCGCTCTTCCCCCAATTCCAACCCTGAAGTGCGTGCTCTCTATTCACCATTTCAACGCCGTACCACACCTTGAGGCATTTCTGGACCGTATCGAAGTCCTGCGCACGATTAGCTACCGTCAGAGTCGTGTGCAGCCATTTTAACCTCAACGCACCTCCTGCCTGAAGCCATCCAGCTGCACCACACCCGCCGTCCGCGCGATCAGCTTCACCTCATAGCCTTTTGCAGCTCGGCTCCACTGCGCGCTGATTATGTCCGTCTTGTCAAGTGTCCAAGTGGCTGATGACGTTTTCCAGCCGATGCCGGACTCGGCGAGCCTGCATTTGCCCGACTGCTTTGAGAGGTCGAGGTAGATGTCGTCAAAGGATTCCCTGGGGCCGGTGAGTCAGTATGAGGGAGGTGAATGGAGCTTCGAACGGCGCGCAAGCGATGGAGACCGGTATGGGGATGGGGTGCTTCTCGCAGTGCGTGTCTGGCGAGTATGCGGTAGACTTACATGATGGAGGTGGTGGTAAGTATATAGCAGGTGAGATGCCGCCGTCTTGTACCTTCGCGACCAACGCGCCGCTCTCACTCGCGAACGGCTGGTTGTTCGGTGTGCAGTCGCAATGACACCGCGGCGAAGTATACGATCTCGGAGTGGTTGAGGAGGTTGTAAGCTAGGATGTAACGCGAGTGTTGCCTGGACGTGATTGGGTTGCGGGCGTGTGTGAAGTGGAAGCAATGTTTAGGTGAGACCTGAGTGCTTGCAGATACGGCGACGCGACTGGACTTTTGGCTAATCCCCGCCCAGGAGTGAGGATACTGATGCCTCAGGCTTGAGACTTTCACGAGAGAGAGGCAATCACATGAAAGTGGCGAACGACCACTGTCCGACCATTACAGGAACATGAGTTGAGGGCACAAAGTGATATGGACATGATAATGGTTTCGAGGATCGGATGTCCGCTGCTGATGAGCTGAATCTCCCCGCTATGCTTAGTATCCAGTCATGCCCCTTCATATCTCATCAAAGCCCAAACCCAGCTCAGCCAACCAGGGCCGGCACCCAGAGGTATCACTTAACAAATCTCCCCAAAGCAAGAAGCATACTCGTACAAACCCCACCTCCACCTCCTCCACCACCACCCACCACCCACCACCCACCTCACTGCATCAACCGCTCCAACTCCCCCTCATCCCTTACCCAAGGCCCCTTCTCCTCAGCCGTCGCATTCAACACGCCCTCCGCCCGCCTCAGCGTCAAAACATCCAAATCAGTAATCCACGCCCTTCCATCGACCCCCTCCCCCACCAACGGGATTCGCACCTCATTATCAGCATCGAGCATCATATCGTCCTTCCACAGCCTGCGCTGGCCCTCGTACACACACAAGACCCGCTTCTTCATCTTCATCTTCTCCGGCGCCGCGCCCCACGACAGCGGGTAGTTCTTGCGGCGCTTGGCGCCCTTGGCCACGCCCGCGGCGCTCATGAGCGGGACCCCGTTTTTCGACCGCGTGAGGCCTTTTGAGAGGGAGGGGCCCGGTTTGCCGACTGCGCCGTTGGCGGTGAGGTGATTGCCACCCCCGATGTGCTGTCCCGAGACGGCACCGCGGGGATGTGCTAGTTGTCAGCTCGAGTTGGGGGCGCCGGTGGATTTGCGAGTCTTGAGGGCGCCTTTGCCCGAGCGGTCGGAGCGAGTGCCGTAGGTGGCGTCGTTGGAGTCGTCCTCGTCGTCTTCGTCCTCTTCTTCGGCGTCTTCTTCTTGGTCGAAGGAGGTGCTCGCGCTGAGGTCGATGGTGGTGGGGAGCTGGTGCCGCTCCATTGTCTCTTGAACTTGCTGGTCTTCCGCGACGGACGACAATAGCTTCTCGTTGATCGCTTCGCTTGGCTCCGCTTGCTGGACGACGCGTAGCACGCAGTCGTCGAGATGCTCGTAGAAGTCTTGCGCGCTCAGGAAGGTGATGCCGCAAGTCGAGCACATGCCAGAAGTCTCTAGCACACCAAGTGGCCTCTTGCCAGCCGCGGCCGACGGGCTCTTTCTCCGGGCATTGGGCGGCGTCTGCTCTACACCGTGGACGGATGTCAGATGTCGCTTGAAGACATCGGCGCGGTTGAAGCTCTTTTCCGCCGCGCTGCCACTTCCCGGACAGAAGCCGCAAACCATGGTGCCCTTGTAGTGGGTGAGTGTGTGCCTGCTCTTATCATACTTCCTCGCAAACCCCTTGGTGTGGTAGTCGCAAGTCGGGATCGGGCACTTTTCCGGACGTTCGTTTTGGTGGGTGAGCATGTGCGCTTTCAGGTCCTTGACGTGCCGACCGCAAGCCCCTATCGGGCAGAGACCTTTGTTCGAGTCGTCCGAGGATATCGACCCATGGCTGTGTCGCGAGTGAATCGATGACATGGATTGCCGTCGAGATCCCGGGTACGCTGGGTATGGTTGCCAGTTCTGCGGGCGTGTGTTGGGTGAAGATGCCTTGCCCGCCGACATGCGGGGGCTGGGAATAGCATGTTTGATAGGAATTGGCGAGGTGACTTGCGGGAAGGCGTGTAGGTTGAGCGGTGACTGTACGGCTGCCACATCCGGGAATTGCGCGCCGGTATATTGCGTGGGCTGAATCAGCGATGGGTCTATAAAAGGTATGGTTAGCCGAAGTTCTGCGTCGTAAGCAGTGATTCGAAGCAAAGAGATAGGAGACCAGCAAGAGAAATACGGACAAGAAAGTTCGAGAGGAGGTACGAAATAGCCACTGGAATGGTAGAAGAAAGGGGACTACAGATGTGGCCGTGGAGCTTGTGGGCGTGGCGGTACTTCAATCCCATCCGCAGAGGTGAAGGTGGACAGCGGCGACGAGCCACGCGCTCTCTTTGGCGCTGGTGAGGTGTTTGAAGCCTTGCGTCTGCCCTTCAATCGCTCGAGGACTGGTGAAGTCGCTGTCGCGGAGGCTGGTGTGGTCGGCGACCGGAAGACACTGTCTTTGGGACTTGCGGCCTCGACGGTATTGCTGATCTGCAATTGCGGACCCAAAGTCGCGCGCGTCGGTCTCAAACCCATAGCACCGATAGTCGGGTTCGTGATCCAGTAGTCACACGTCCCGGTCGATTGCGCGGTTTGAGGAAAGCTGTACGAAGAGAAGGAAGGCGCAAGAAACGAGCTACTTTGTGGTTGTTGAGAAGAAGAAAAGTTGAGCAACTCACCAACGCAACCCTTGTCGGTCACCAGGATGGGATCATATTCCAGACCGGTAGTGGCGAACATATCCTGCACCAGACTATCGTGGTGGACAATGCCAGGGATCA